CAAAAGCATTATTGTTATCATAGCACAAAATACACCCAGCACCCATTCCAATCAGCCAGCTAAGCAAGCACCTGCAGGGACGTTGCCACTTCTGCCCAAGAGGTGTAACCAAGTGCAGTGTGAACCTCTGGACAGGTAGCCATTCGAGATTCTTCTCAGCCATTGCTACACTGTCCCCACTGGGGCTACTGTGGCACTTCATCTGTTTGATTGTTTTTTCTTGGCTTTCCTTACTTTCTTTAAGAAATTTGTTCATTTCTTCCTATTTTTTGTTTGTTTCTCTTTTTTTCTTCCATTTCTTTAAGGGATTTTCTCACATCACTTTTTTGAAGATATTTTTTAAGTCATTCTCTTCTGCTTCATCTGCTTTGGTGTGTTCAGGTCTAGTTGGTGTAGAATCCCTAGATTCTGGTGGTGTCATGCTTGTCTTTCTACTGTTAGGTGTTTTCTTGTATTGCTATCTTCTCGTCGCTTCTTCCAGTGGGTGCAGATGGGGTCTCTCTGTCTACTCCCCTGGTGGTCTTAGGTGGGTCAGGAGTTCTATGTCTGTATCTCTGTGTGGTCCACACTCTCTAGGAGGTCTTGCCTCAGGCAGGGGCCCGGCGATGGGGGTCAATCATGTGTTCCTTCTTAGTCAACTTTTCATATTTGGCACGATTATCAGATCGCTTTTTATATTTGGCAAAAGAAACCACTTTGGCTATTAAGAATGACATATGAATTACCAGATTATTGATAATTATAATCAGCATTATGTCAATTCCAGCTAAGTCATTTATCCCATTATTTACTATTTTCATTATCAAGTTATCCATAGTAGCAGTATACAACATTCTAGCAATCTGCATTGTGACATTTTCCATCCTTAATGTGGGGATCATTCTTCTTTTTAATATTACTTAACTCTCTTCCTTCACAGATGTCTCACCAAATCTGCTGACTTCTCAGCTTGGTAGTGGGCTGGAGCACCTCCTCAGATTTACAAGTATAAGTCAACTTTCCAGAGTCCCCGTGAGTGGCAGCAGCTGGCTAATGTGAACTCTCCATTCTTGTGGTTGTGCCACTCATTGGAGTGTCAAAATGTTGTTTTTCCCCTGACAGCAGAGGCTATATCTGAATTCACTGCTGTTTCGGCTGGTAACTGGCAGATAACCAATTATCAGACAGAGGGCTATGTCCCTCTGGATCTGCCCCTTTCTGCTGCCTCCAAATACAGTTTGTTTGTTTGTTTGTTTTTTAAGATTCGTTTATTATGTATATAGTATGTATATTACATATAATATTATATGCCAGAAGAAGGTACCAAAATCACATTATAGATGGTTGTGAGCCACCATATGGTTGCTGGGAATGAAACTGAGAATTTCTGGAAGAGTGGTCAGTACTCTTAACCTCTGATCCATTTTTCCAGCCTCCAAATGTAGTTGTTTTGTTTTACTTTTTAAATATTATTTTTTCTTATTTTACATATTTATCCCAGTTTCCTCTTCCTCCCATGCTCCCATGACCCTATTGAACCTCCCACCTATGACATTCCCTATCCACTCAAAAGAGAGGAGGAGGCCTTCCAAGAGGGATCATCACAATCTGTTAAGTCATTTTCGTTAGGCCCTAGGCCCTTCCTCCTGCAAAATGAGTATCCCTCCTTGGGGAATGTGCTCCCAAATTCATTTTGTGCACCAGGGATACATCCTGTTTCCACTGTCACAGGTGCCATAGACTGCCCAGGCCTTCTAACTGAGACCCACGTTCAGGGAGTCTGGGTCGGTCCTGTGCTGGTTTCCCAGCTATCAGTCGGGGTCCATGGTCCCCTCCCCAACTCTGTGGGTTTCTTGACTCCTTTTCTCATTATTCCTCCCTTTCTACAGCTGGATTTGAGGAGTTCAGCTCAGCATTTAGTTGTGGGTGTCTGCTTCTGTTTTCCATCAGCTATGAGATGAGGGCTCTAGGATGACATATAAGGTAGTTATCCTCTCATTATCAGGAAAAGGCATTTAAGTTGGCCTCTCCCATATTGCTCAAATTGTTAACCTGTGTCTTTTTATAGGTGAGATAAGACCATTAATATTAAAGGAAAATAAGGATCATTGATTGTTTATTCTTGTTTGTTTTAGATTTGTTGTTGGCAGTGGTGTTGTGAGTATATTTGCCCTGCTTTTCTATTAGGTCCTTGTTAAGTGGGATTATCTATTGGCTATGATTTTGTGAGTGTAGTTAACTTCCTTGGGTTGGAGTTTTCCTTCCAGAACTTTCTGTAGAGCTGGATTTGTGGATATGTATTGTGAAAATCTGGTTTTGTCATATTTTCTCAACCTATAGTGCTTGAGAGTTTTCTGGTTATAGTAGCTTGGGCTGGCATCTGTGGACTCCTAATGTTTGTAGAACATCTATCCAGGACCTTTTCTCAAGTTAATTTTGATAGGTCTGCCTTTATATGTTACCTGGCCTTTTTCCTTCACTGCCCTTAATATTCTTTCTTTATTCTGTATGTTTTGATTATTATGTGGTGAGGGGACCTTTCTTTGGTTCAGTCTATTTGGTGTTCAGTAGGCTTCTTGTACTTTCATAGGCATGTCCTTCTTCAGATTAGGAAAGTTTTCTTCAATGATTTTGTTGAATATCTTTTCTGCACCTTTGAGCTGGGCTTCTTTGCCTTCTATGCCTTCTATGCCTATTATTCTTAGGTTTGGTCTGTTCATGGTGTCCCACATTTCCTGGATGTTTTGTGTTAAGGATTTATTGGATTTAAGATTTTCTTTGGTTGTTGAATCTATTTCTTCTAGTTTTTCTTTAGAGCTGGAGATTCTCCCTTCAATCTCTTGTATTTTGTTGGTTATACTTGCATCTGTAGTTCCTGATCAATTACTCAGTTTTTCTATTTCCAGCATTCCCTCCGTTTGTGTTTCTTTATCATCTCTATTTCAGTTTTCAGGTCTTGAACTGTTTGAATTGTTTCCTTCATCTGTTTACTTTCTTTAAGAGATTTGTTCATTTCTTGCATTGTTTGATTTTTTTTTCCCTTGGTTTTCCTTACTTTCTTTAAGAGATTTGTTCATTTCTTGCATTTTTTGCTTGGTCTTTTTCTCTATTTCTTTCAATTTTTGTTTGTTTTTTTTCTTACATTTCTTTAAGCAATTTTCTCATATCATTTTTGAGGTCCTCTATCATTTTCATAATGTTATTTTTTAGGTCATGCCCTTCTGTTTTATCTGCTTTGGTGTGTTCCTATCTAGTTGGTGTAGAGTCCCTATATTCTGCTGGTGTCATACTGGTCTTTCAATTGTTGAGTGTTTCCTTTTATTGCTGTATTCCCATAGCTTCTTTCAGTGGATTCAGTTGGGATCTCTTACTTTACCCTCTTCTCCCAATAAGTGTATGTGGGTCAAGACTTGATGTCAATAACTCTGGATGCTCTGAGCTTTCATTGAGGTCTCTCAAGCAGAGACCACAGCAGGGACAATGATGTGGGGATGGCAGGCTCTGGATGGTCTGAAGCACTCTGCAGAAGGCAGGCATAGTGGCCCAAAGGTCAGGTAAGGGCAGGCTCCAGATGGTCCTGTGTGGAGGGCCAGGTCCAGTATGGGCATGTCTGACTTGGGGAGTTCCAAGGAGAGGATGGGGGTGTTGGACCTAAGCTCTGGACAAACACTCACCTGAGTAGTGGGCCCAACCCCAAATGTAGGTTGGGTGAAAACTTGCAAGATAGGTTGTGGAGTGACTAGTTAATTTCTCTTCACCGGCATCTCGATAAAAAAGAGAGCATCTTTTCTGTTGCTTCAAAAAGAATGGCCACAGTCAAAGTCCTTTCCTTCTACTTTCTGTGCATCTCTTTATCCTTTTCCAGTCCCATTTTGACTCTCTACGACTGGAAATTTTTCTGAAACTTCTTTTTAGTAGTCTGTTTTCCTATCTTACTATACTATGGTAATTTATATAAGGTGCAGAGCAGATCAGTGGTAAAATGTGTTCTAAGAAACATAAATGATAGGTAGGTAGATAGATAGATAGATAGATAGATAGATAGATAGATAGATAGATACTGTAGGTGTATGTGCATGTTTAGCCCTAAATAAATAATACAAAACTAGAATATCCGTGAAATGCATGGGCATGTGTCATAGAGGACATTCAATTAATCTCCCCTTTCTGTGCCATTTTGGAAATTTCATTATTAAATAATATTATTTCACTAAGTGTGGATGTTTTTCATGCATATATGTATGTATGCCACATGTATGCCTGGTGCCCATGGAACCAGAAAAGAGTATTGGATCCCCTGAAATTGGAGCTAGAATTAGTTGTGAACCATTGTGTTGGTGCTACAAATTGAACCTGGTTCCTTTGGAAGAGCAACTAGCACACTTAAGCTCTTGATCCATCTTCCTAGCCCTTTAAATTTCATTTTATGTCATAGATGCAAAGAGGTAATGTTGAGGCTTCATATCATCCATTTACTTCATGTGTTAGGTTCCAAGACACTTTCCAATGAAACAGACTAAGAGGGAAGGATCAGTTTCTGTCATGAGTTTTCTTAAGTGTTATATATCATCAGATCCTAAGAATTTAAACATTTCTCTTTTATGAACCTGCATGTGACTCGGAGTGTGTGACCAGTTGAAGGGAAAGTAATCAGGTAAGGAAAATAAGTGAAAGTTTCACATTATCACCCAGGCCCAATAGTCTTCTTTGAAAACAACACTAAGCAATACACTATTTCTCTTTTATTATACAAAGATGGATTGGTTGCTTACTTTTGTGTATTGATAGTGTGTTTGTGTTTGAACTCATGATTGTGTGCATATGCGGAGACCAGAGAAGGAGAGTCTATCACTGTCTGCCTTATTATTTTCATACAGGGTTTCTCACTGAATCTGGAGGTAGGTTGTTAGCCAGAAAACCCCACTGAAACCCCTGTCTATGGCTTATGAAGTCCAAACTCAGGTTCATATTCTTTTGTTCAGTCCACTGTCAGTTAACATTTTGTTAATTTCTTTCTCCAGCCTGTGTTCCAAGCCTGGCCCATCTCTGTCGTTTGGAAATTTGGGCTATGCTAAAAGCAGAACACCATTGTTCTGACAGTTTCATCCATCAGTTGCCACTACCAAGAAGTCTGCAGAACTATTTGCTCTATGAAGAGGTTTTGAAGATGAATGAAATTCCAGAACCAGCAGCTATTCGTGATGGAGAAATTAATGAGGCCACCTGACAGCTAAATTTTCAATTCTGTTTAGTCACAAAAGATGGGAATGTTTAAAACTGGGCCTCCAACTTCCCTTCCTCCCCAGTATTGTGAACTTTACTCAGCTTGCCTCACTCAGTTTTTTCTCCAGTGTACTTTGTTGTGTAGTATTTGCTTAACTGACCATTTTCTCCTTTATGCTGCCATGGTACTGGTTGTGACATCTTTCCCTTTAACATTTTTGTTCATCTGTATTTGAAGCTAAGGATGGAAGCCATAAACTTTCTAGGAAGAATATGTAATGACTATGCTTTGAGTCACTTACCATTGTTATTATTTCAGTTAGTTCCTAATATCCTGTGTTTATAAAAAAAAAAAGAAATTTTCCTATGTGTTCATAATCTGTTTTCATTTCTTAATTAAGTTATATTCTAAAAATTATATAATTTTCAGAAGTATTGTACTTACTCAGAATATTAATAAGGAGACCTCAAAGGAGCATCGGTAAGAAGCACCTTTAGAGAAAGAAATGGGCACATTTCAGTTATTTGGTGTTAAATAGCACAATCAGGCTTTATTCAGCTCTAGAATAAAAGGACAGCTTTGTTCCTATGAATCAGTAATAGCCAATAATATTCTATTAATACAATAGTTTTCCTTCTTAATATCTGGTTGAACTTTTACGTGACTGATTTAATGAAAACCTCAGAGTCCTACATTGTGTTTTTAACCATTGTTTTATGTAAACCTTGAGTCAAGAAAAATCAAACATCATCAAAACAGTTGTCTGAGACTGAAAACTGGTCTTGAGAGGGAGGTATTAGGGTATTCCTGTAATAATATTCTGCACATGGTGGTTTCTACAGGAGGCAGAACTTCATCTCTTGCCAGCAACCTGTGGTTGGGTAGATCATCTAGTGCCATCTCTGATATACCTGTTTTCCCACCCAGAATACTATTCTAATATCTAAAAAATTAGACTTCAAACTATAGTCAATCAAAAGAAATAAAGGAGGTCATTCATATTCATCACAGGAAAATCCATCACGATGAAGTCTCAATTCTGAACATCTATGCCCCAATACTAAGGCACCCACATTCATAAAAAGAAACATTACAAATCTCAAGTCACAAATAAAACTACACACACATATAGTGGGAGAATTCAACACACCACTCTCATCACTGGACAGGACTACCAGACAGTAACTTAACAAAGAAACAAAAGCACGAACAGAAGTTATGACCCAATTGGATTTAATTCACACCTATAGAACATTCCATCCAAACAAAAAGAATATACCTTCTACTCTGCACCACATGGAATCTAACCTAAAATCGGCCACTTACTAGGAAACATAGCAAACGTCAATAGAAACAAACAAACAAAAAAAAGGTGGGGGGGGACTAATCCACTGTATCTTAACAGATCACTGATTAATCATTGTATCAAACAGATGGTTTGAAGTTAGAATTCAACAACACCAATTGCAGAAAGCCTACAAACTCATGGAAATTGAACAGTGCTCAATTGCATCACTCCCAGGTCAAGGAAGAAATAAGAAAGAAATTAAAGACTTCCTAGAATTCAATGAGATTGAAGACACAACATATCCAAAATTATGGGACACTTTGAAGAGCACAAGTGAAAGCTTTAGACCAAAATGAAGCAAACTCAGCCTGCAGGAATAGAAGACAGGAAATAATCAATTGAGGGCTGAAATCAGTAAAGTAGAAACAAAGAAAATACAAAGAATCGAAGAAACAAAGAGTTGGTTCTTGGAGAAAATCATCTAGATAAACCCTTATCCAAACTAACCAAAAGGCAGAGAGAGAACGTGGAAATTAACAAAATTAGAAATAAAAAATGGGGCCATAACAATGGACACTGAAGAAATCCAGAGAATTGTCAGGTTATATTTTGAAAATCTGTACTCCACAAAATTGGATATTTTATTGGAAATTTTCTGAATAGATATCACCTACCAAAATGAAATCAAGAGCAGATAAACAATTTAAATAGATGTATAACCCCTAATGAAATAGAAGCAGTCATCAAAAGTTTCCCAAACAAAAATAGCCCAGGCCCAGATGGTTTCAGTGCAGAATTCTACCAGAAATACAAAGAAAAGTGAATAGCAATACACTGTAAATCGTTTCACACAATAGAAGCAGTAGGGTCATGGCCACACTCTTTTTACGAGGCTGCAATTACCGTGATATCCAAAGCACACAAAGACCCAATTAGAAAAGAAATTGAGGCCAATATCCCTCATGAACATTGATGCAAAAATTCTCAATAAAATAATGGGAAATCATATCCAAGAACATCACAGAAGTCATCCACCATGATCAAGTAGGCTTCATCGCACAGATGCAGGAATGGTTCAACATATGAAAATCTGTCAATGTAATCCACCATATAAATAAACTGAAAAAGAAAAACCACATGATCATCTCCCTACATGCTGAAAAAGCCTTTGACAAAATCTAACACCACTTCATGATAAAGGTAACCTGAAGAGATGAGGGATAACTGGAACATACCTAAACATAATAAAGGTAATATGTAGCAAGCCAACAACCAAAATCAAACTAAATGGAGAGAAATTCAACACAATTCCTCTAAAATCAGGAACAAGACAAGGATGTCCATTTTCTCCATATCTCTTCAATACTGTACTTGAAGTTCTAAAGCAATAAGATAACAAAAGGAGATCAAGGGTATAGAAATTGGAAAGGAAGAAGTCAAACTGTCACTATTTGCAGATGCTATAATAGTTTACATAAGTGGCGTGAAAAGTTCTACCAGGTTAAGCTGACAAGCACCTTAAGATTAACTCAAAAAAAAAAAAAAAATCAGTAGGCCTCCTATATAGAGATGATAAATGGGCTGAAAAAGAAATCAGAGAAACATCACCTTTCACAATAGCCACAAAGAACAAGAAATATCTTGTGGTAATGCTAACCAAACAAGGGAAAGACATGTATGACAAAGGCATTGAGCTTTAAAGACAGAAATTCAAGAAGATACCAGAAAATGGAAAGATCTCCCATGCTCTTGTAAAGGTAGGATCAACATAGTAAAGATGGCAATCTTAGCAAAAGCAATCTACACACTCAATACAATCCCCATCAAAATCCCAGCACAATTTTTCACTGACCTTGAAAGAATAATACTTGACTATGTGGGGGGGGGGAGGCGGAATACCCAAAACAACCATGTGCAATAAAGAAACTTCCGGAAACATCACCATTACCGACTTTAAGCTCTACTATAGAGCTACAATAATGAAAATAGTATTGGCACAAAAACTGAGAGAGATAGACCAATGGAATTGAAAATCCTGATATTAACCCACACGCCTATGAACACCCGATTTTTGACAAAAAAGCTAAAAGTATACAATGAAAAAAGGAAAGTATCTTCAATAAATTGTGCTGGCATTACTGTATGCTGAGTGCAAATGGAACCATATCTATCCCCATGCACAAAACTTTAGTCCAAATGGAACAAAGACCTCAACATAAATCCAACCACATGGAAACTGTTAGATCAGAAAATGGCAAGTACCCTTGAACTAATTGGCACAGGAGACCACTGCCTGAATGTAACACCAGTAGTACAGACACTGAGATCAACAATAAATGGGACCGCCTAAAACTGAGAAGATTCTGTAGGGCAGAGGACATAGTCAACAACACAAAATGGGAAAAGACATTCACCAACCTCACATCTGACAGAGGACTCATCTCCAAAATATACAAAGAACTCAAGAAGCTAGTCACCAAAACACCATATAACCCAATTTAAAGGTGGGGTACAGAGCTAAATAGAGAATTCTCAATAGATGAATGTAAGATGAGTGAAAGGCACTTAAATTGGGACCCTTGTTGCCAAGCTGGGGAACCAACATCAGACTGTACCGATCCCTCTGAATGGGGGTGCCAGTTATGAAGCTTTGGCAGTCTATGGGACTTCTAACAACAGAACCAGTATTTATCCCTACTGTACAAATGGACTTTGGGAGCCCATTCCCTATGGAAGGATACTATTTCACCCCAGATACATGGAGGAGGGCCTAGGCTCTCCCCCAAGTGATGTGACAGACTTTGAGGATCCCCCATGGAATGCCTCACTATCTTTGTGTATGGGTAGGGGGTGTGTTGAAGGGGTTGGTGGGGGCTATGGGAGAATGGGAGAGGAAACAAGGGTATTGATATGTAAAATAGATTCTAAATACGAAAAAGAAATTAATATAAAAATTAAGTTATGGCATTTAAGTTTTTCATTTGAAAAGAAAGCACATTAAAAGAATTAAAGGTGGCAGCAGGAGCATCACAAATTCAAGGCTACCCTCAGGAACATAGCCAGTTAGAGGCCAGCCTACTATATGTGTGTATGTGTGTGACTCCTCAAAAAAGCTGGTGCATGAGAGGGAGGGGGAGAAGGAGAAAGGGAGAGAGAAAGAGAGAGAGAGAGTAAGAGCTGGGCAGTGGTGATGCCTGCCTTTAATGCCAGCACTCAAAAGGCAGAGACAGGCAGATCACTGAGTTTGAGGCCAGCCTGGTCTAGGAGAGCTAGTTGCCGCACAGCTTCCAAAGCCAAAGAGAAACCCTCTCTCAAAAAAACAAAGAAACAGAGAGAATGAGGAAACCCTATATAAAAGAAGGAAGATGAATCTGTGGTCCTCCCATCTAGGTCCATTAGTAATGTTAACCACTGTATTGGGATATAACCTATTTCTGTGAATTTTTATGGTTTTAATTTATGTAGAAGGTTAACAAATTTATAAAATTATAGTTAAAATCAACCAATTTCACAATTTTGTCTTGGTCTATTCTTAAAAAAAAGTATTGGCATGAAACTTACAGCCAAACCAAAGTCACTTGTTTATAGACTTCCAAGTCAGTAAAAGTCAGAATAAATGAAGTGTTTGCTAATTCTTTTTCTATAACTACCTGAAGAAATAATAATTAAAAAAAACCTTGTCTCTATTTTGTAAATAAAGCTGGAAGTGCAGGTAAGACTTCGTGGACCTTCCCTAGCCTTGTCATCTCTTTCCAGGGTAGTCCTACTAGTGCATATCTTGTGAATTACTCCAGTATATGAAGCAGAGTATGTGTATGTATGATACCTCTTTTAAGGGTATGGACACCTTTTGAAATAGTCTTACTGTATGAACTCTTGCTGGCCTGAAACTGTGTAACCCTGGTTGGCCTGGAACCCATAGCAACCTACCTTCTTAAGTCTCCTGCATGTTTGGATTACAGGTGTGAGTTTATAAAAGAATTTAAAATT